GCCCCCCCTGCTGGCCTGATTGCCCCCAACTGCCCCCCCTGCCAGCCTGATTGCCCCTAACCACCTCTGGCACGGCCCCGCCACCATGGCTTTGTCCGGAAGGTCTCCCAGTCTAATTAGCATATTACCCTTTTATTAGTATAGATAATGTTTAGTCAAAGTCCATTTTTTGGTAATGGATGTCTAATTTTCTAGTGCCATCTATTAAAAAAATTATTCTTTCTCCACTGCACATTTGTCAAAAATCAGCTGGTTATATTTGTGTGGATCTGTTTCTGGGTTATCTGTTTCGTTACATTGATCTGTGTGTCTATCTCTCCTCAAACACCTAACAGTCATGGTTATTGTAGCTGTATAATAACTCTTAAAATCAGATAGACTGATTTCCCCACTTGGTTCTTTTTCAAAACTGTTTTAGCTATTCTGTCTCCTTTGCCCTTCCATATAAATTTTAGAATTATTGTGTGTACATCTACAAAAAAATCTTCCCAGGATTTTTATTGGAATTCTGTTAAATCTGTAGATAATTTTGGAAATAATTTACATCTTTATGATATTGGGTCTTTCAATCTATGAACATGGTTGTCTCTTCCCTTATTTCAGTCTTCTGTGGTTCCTTTCATCAGCATTTCGTAGTGTTCAGCATTCAGATTATGTGCATGTTTTATTAGATTTATACCTATGTATTTCATTTGTGGGGTAAGCAATTGCAAATAGTATTGTTTTTAAATTTTTGTTTCCAATTGTATATTGCTGGTCTATAGAAATGTTACTGATTTTGTGTGTTAACGTTGTCTCTTGTGACCTTGCTAAGCTCACTTATTAGAGGGTTTTTTTTTGTATGTTATTTGGGATTAGTTACATAAATAATCATGTCATCTGCAAATAAGGATAGTTTTTTTCTTTCTAATCTAATTCTTTCTCTCTTTTTTTCTTTTTTCTTTTCTTCCTCCTCCCCCACCCAACGCCTTTTTGCATTGATTAGGACTTTCATCATGATGTTGAATAGGAGAAGAGAGAGCAGATATTCTTGCCTGTTCTTAGCCTTAGGGGGAAGCTTACTTATTTAGAAACATTCCTCTTTTCTAAAATAGGTATTTAATGCTTTAAATTTCACTCTAAGTAATTTACCTGCATGCCACAAATTTTGATGTTTTCTTTTCAAAAATTCAATTCAAAATATTTCCTCTTATAGCTTCCTCTTATTTTCTTGCTGATCTTGATTTTTATTTGATACCATTTTCCTTCATCCTGAAGTACTTCCTTTAGCATTTCTTGTAATGCAATTCTGCTGGCAACAAACTCCCTAGCATTCATTTACTGCAAGCATGTCAAACTCCCAGCCCGCGGGCCGCATGCGGCACACAACAGATATTTTTGCGGCCCAGCCAATATAATGGTATGTAAGAAATGTTTTAATAAAAATTTCATAACTTAATTTTTACACTATCCTGTTATACATAATTATTAATAACGAACTACAACGTTCGCTAATGACTGATTACTATAATCATGTTGCATTCATTTCCCTTACGCGCAGGCGCACCATTTCTCTCCACTAATACTAGCAGCGAATATTTTAGCAGCTGATTGCCATGTCATTAGTCTTGTACTGACTTGTTTGGTGTGCGCAACAGGAAATATTTTGCTTTCAGAGAACAAGAAAAATAGGCTTTTTTGCATTACACTTATTAATTTGTGCAGTTATTCAGTGTCTGGTAAGTTAATGTTCAAGAAGAAATATTAATTTTTATTAAATGTTCTGTTTTATGTTAACTATGTCTCATTTATTTCAGCCCTTTGAATTCAGCATGTCTCTATCGAAATAAATCTACATTTCTTTGGAAATTGAAGCTTTTGTGTTTTTTTGCAGCCCACATAAACTTAAACCTTGTTTATTTGGCCTGTGTTAGCCTTTGAGTTTGACATGCTTGATTTACTGGAAAATGCCTTTCACATTCTTTTTTGAAGGATATTATCAATGGATACAAAATTCTAGGTTAGCAGATTTTTCCTTTCATCAGTATGAAGTGTTGCTCCATTGTCTCTTGATCTACATAATTTCTTGTGAGAGGTTAGGTGTTTTCTTATTGTTCTTCTTTTGTAGAGTCTCCCTTTCCCCACTAGATACTTTTAAGATTGCCTCTTTATTTTTGGTTTTCTTCAGCGTGACCATGCTGTTCCTACATGTGTTTGTCTTTTTATTTTTCCTTCTTGGGGTTCACTGAGCTTCTTGGATCTGTCTATTGGGGTGTACCTCTAATCCACTGCACAGTGCTTCCTGGTATGCATCCCTCATATTGTGGTTCCCCATCCTGTCTTTGACAAACTCTTGGGATGCCTCCAGCTCCCCTTAAAAAATGCAGTTGCCATGAGCATCCTTCTACAGGTTCCCTTAGCTGGGTAAGATTTCATTTGGGATGTTAGAACCCAGAGTAGAATTGCTGGCTTGCAAGGTTTGCCTATACTAAACTTGACTGAGGATTGCCAGATGTCCATATGATGATGGGATGATCCTCAAGTGAGGAAAGAATAATGGTGAGGAAAGAGGAAAGAGTGGGGAGAATTTCTGGAGCCTCATGCTTGAGTAGGTGAGAAGGGATGGTACCCACAGTGTAAGTGGAGGAGTTAGCCAAGAACAGGGACAGTTCATCCCCAGAGAAAGAGGAAAAGCGGAGGTCTGGGCCAGATGCTGGTAGATGGGTCGGTGTTGTGGCAGAAAATTTTCTTCTGTGGCTTCTATTTTCTTGGTGATATAGGAAGCAGCCTGAGGGGCCGGATGGGGAGGAGGTACTGGCAGTTCAAAGAGAGGAAGGTGTGAAACAGCTGTCTTGGAGACTGGGAGTGTGCATGACCAGGGCAACAGAGTCCACTTGCCGGGCAGTGTGCAGGCTGCTCTTGGGTCAGTGAGAGTGGGCAGTGCTTCTGGGAGAGGTCGGGCATGGAGCAGGTCCAGCAAAGGGTTCTAAAGGCTCAGGTTAGCAGGACTCCATGCCTGGCACTGTTCTGGGCTCTGTGGGCACAGGGTGGGCATTGCAAAGGGGCTACAGATCACCACAGACTCATCATTCTGTGGGGTGCCTGGGGAGGCGGGGGTGGTGACAGTGTGGTGGGAAGGTCTGTAATTATGTGATCAGGTTGCTCAGCAGGTGTAGGTACTCAGTGCTTCTCTGTCTATAGCTCTGTTTTGTATTATAAAAGTGATGCATGCCACATCAAGAAAATTTAGGAAAAGGTAAAAAAAAAGTTAAGTAAAAAAGTAGATCATCTGAAATCCATGCTCTTCCCACCCTGCTGAAAGGCAGCAACAATAGTTAACATTTGGATGTCTTATTATTAAGGAAAAGGGCTGTCCCTGCCCAATGGGCCTTTGAGATTTGACCTCATGTCCAAATGTGAGTACGTCCCACCACCAAATGTAGCCAAGCAACAGTGTGGTAGGCTGAATGGGCCATGGGGGGTCCTCTCCCCATTCCTGGCAGAAGTCAGGGAGGCCTGCATGGAGGGGGTGGCCATGAATTGGGTCTTGAAGGTTGAGGGTCCCTCTAGCCTGTCTTGCTGTCTTTATCCCTCCTGTCTCCCCTTGTTCAGTGTCTTTTAAGGGCAGAGCTAGCTCCCAGCCCCTGTCCTACTGTGTGGCGGATAGGGTGGTCATGCTGCAGGTGAGATGAGTAGGAACGGCCCACTCTGTGTGAGGACAGGGAGGCAGAGTGGCCTGAGCGTGCTGCCCCACTACAGCCCCTCCATTTGTGCAGTGCGAGCCTGTGAGGCCATACACAACAGTCTGCGAGGAGAGTCCCTCCACCCCCGACACCAGCCCCTGGCCTGGCACCCACTCCCTAGCAAGAAGGAGAAGGCGGGGGGTGAGGGGGTACATGTTCCACCCTCCTGGGTCTGTGTGCCCCTCCAGATACCAGCGACAGTGAGCTGGAGCTGTCCATGGTGCGCCACCAGCCAGAGGGGCTGGAGCAGCTGCAGGCACAGACCAAGTTCACCAAGATGGAGCTGCAGTCCCTCTATAGGGGCTTCAAGAATGTGAGTGATCCCCACCCCTCAGGAGAGGCCCTGACCCACCCCGCCCTTTTATCCTTGGCTCCAGGAAGGGGAATTCTGGCTCAGGCAGACCTTCTAGAAACTTCATGGAACAGCAAATATCCTGGGGCCTTGATGAGGCTCATGTTTTGTGGGAGACCTGTCTGGGGAGCATGTGGGCCAAGCCCAGACACGCAGTGTCTCCTTTCTGCGTGTCTATGTGCTGGCGCAAGGGAAGGACCAGATTGGCCCAAGGGGACCAGCCACCACCCCCCCACACACACACACACACCTACCCTTTCCTGCCTCGCCCCCGCCCCCAACCACCAGACTTTCCTGGGCGCTCAGTAGAGCCCAGCAGTGCCTTGGACAGTAGGCATCCTTCAGAGGGAGGAGTCAGGGTGCGGGGCTGGGGGTGGCCGAGGCTGCTGAGGGTGACTTACTGCTGCAGGAGTGTCCCTCGGGCCTGGTGGATGAAGACACCTTCAAACTCATTTACGCACAGTTCTTCCCTCAGGGAGGTGAGTCTGAGGCCAGACCCTGCTCCCGCTTCTCCCAATGCCCCCACTGTGTCCCTACGGCAGTTCTGCAGAGGGCGGGTGTCCCTTTATGGGGAGGGGACCCTCACCCCCACCTCTATGCTCCCCGCCACCACTTGCTTCCCGGAGGCCTGATGCTGCCTCATCCCATTGGAAGGGGGTACCCCAGCTCAGGACACAGGTGGACCCCCAGTGGGGCTGCCTGAGGTGGGGGCTTGGCTGCCAGGAGGCCCCCCTCACCCCAGCCAGTGCCCTTGTCTCCTCCAGATGCCACCACCTACGCACACTTCCTCTTCAATGCCTTCGACGCTGACGGGAACGGGGCCATCTGCTTCGAGGTAGGTCTCTGCTGTACCCTCCCACATCCCCTGTGGCATGCCAGGCGTCCCTCTGCCCTGGTGCCACACCCTCGGGCTCTCTAGAGGGTCTGGCCTGACCCTGGTGTCCATGGTCCAGTGTGTCCCCTGGGGAACAGGTGGACTGTGTTTGGCTGGCCCGGGCCTAACTATGAAGTCGGTAGAATTTGGTTTTGCTGTCTGGCCTCCTATTCCCAGCCTTGTCTTCCAGTCCAGCCCCAGTGAGCCCAGGGAGCCACCGTGGCACCCCGAGGTGGCAGTGACCCAGGGTGAGTTTGCATGGGAGAAAGAGACGAGGCTCCATGAGAGATCTGTGCTGACAGCGGGCTTCAGGCCCCAGCCCCAGACTCACCGCCTTTGTCAGGAAACACACAGAGCACCCGGCCTGAGCAGCTCCTGCCATCCCAGCCTGGTGCCTCCGCTGTCAGGAAGGGGAGCCTGCCCCCCACCGTGTCCCCAGCAGGGCCTCGCCCGGCTCAGTGTGGACGGCCATGGGTCCCACCCCGGCCAGGCCACAAGATCATTTGAAGGAGGCATGTCTGCGGATCCCAGGCCCCTAAAAATAGCTGCAGGTGAAAAGCTGAAACCTCTTTGGGGAGGAAACCCATGCTGAGAGCCAGGCGTGATCGATAACCACTCGGCCAAGGGCGGTGACAGGAAAGCCTCGGACCCGCGAGGCCGGGGGAGATAATAGCTCTAACATCGCATCCGGTGCTGCATTCCTCCGTGTGCCCGCCCGCCCCGTGCTGCACTGACACCGCCTGGGTGACCACGGGCCCGCCCCCTTGGCCACACTCTCAGGGCTCCTGTGCAAGTGAGAACGTGCAGTGTTCCCAGCTTCCCTGTTCTCAGTGATGCCTGCACACAGTACAGATCCCGTCCGTGCAGAGGGGGAGACAGCAGGGAAAGCCCACTGTCCCCAGGGCCCCTCCCTGTGACCAGTTTCTGCAGATCCTTCTCGAGGCACCTGAGACGTCTGGGAAGGGGGTGTGGGAAGGGGCTAGTGCGAGGGACACGCCAGGGAGTGGTGGTGGTTCCTCTTGTTCTGAAATCGGAGGATCCAACTGCTCAGCAGGGCCCCTCTGTGCCCAGGGGGGTGTCAGGAAGGTCCAGGTTCCTCCCCTGTGGCCATCACTCCCCATCCCCCGAGGGAGGGGTCTTTTGATACCTTTAAGGTGGTGGTGGTGGGTCTTGGGGGGCTGCTGTCAGTGGCTGAGTTGAGGGTGCTGGTGCTGAGGCCCCTCTGCCTGGCACCTCTCAGGTTGTCCCCTCCGGTGTCATCTGGCCTTCCATGTGCTTCTCAGCCTGTGAAGGTAGCGCCTCTGGGTCCACATGGTGTGTGTTCTCCATGACGACCTTCCTCTTGACCCGGGTCTGCTGTGGGGAGGTTTTCCAGGAAGGGAGGAGGGCATGTGTCTCCCCAGGGTCCTCCCAACCAACAGGGCTCCATGCCGGCTGCTCACAGGCCAGGAAGGGTCCCGGCAGGTTGAGATGACACTCAGCCCCCTCATGGCTCAGACTCAACGTGTTCTGGAAATGGACACTCAGGTCAGTTTATGGGCATTTACAGGGATCCCAATGCTTTCGTATGTTCTTGAGAGACAAGACCCATATTAATTCAAATTGACTGATATGGGAAAATGTTATAACTTCCCTGCCCTCACCGGAGACTACCAAAGTAGATGGGCGAGACCAGCAAACCTTAGCACGGAGCCACGCTGGGTGTCTTAGTTCGGAGGCCTGCCTGCATCACTGTGTCGCTATAGGAGCCCCTCAGCCTCCCGGGGCTCTGCCTCAGGGACAGCCGGAGAGCAGGGCTGTGGATGTGACAGGCTGCTTATGCCTCAGACTTAAGGGCAAGGAGTCGCAGAACTAGCGCTGGCCCCACCCACTACTGTGCTGTGTGGGTTGGCAATTTAGAACTCGAAAGCTATCTGGACGTGGGGTCATCTGTGTGTCACCGAGGATGGGCCAGTGGGCCCAGGGCACATTGCCACCACCCCTCTCCTGGCACCATCGCTGCTATATGACACACACAGAGGGACCCTGAATGGGACAGTCCTCAAGGTGGTTGACCACGAGGGCTTCTGCACCACAGACCCGCGTCTGTGAAGGCCAGAGGGGGGACAGTGGTGCCCCCGGGGCCCACGCGAGACGGGGTCCTGTGTGGGATTCCAGTCCTTCCCCTCCCACCAGGGAGCCTGTCGGACCCCAGAGGAGAGGGAGGGCGTGAACTCAGATGCGTTGACTCTTCGCTGCTGAGGAAACCACCAGCAGGAGTCAGCGGTGCCCTCGACTCTGAGGACTGTCGGTGGTTTTCCTAGACATACTCTCATCTTCTTCGCCTAAACACACACGTGATGTCAAGAGTCCCGCAGATTACAAGTTATAGACCTTGGGAAACAGCAGTAACACCCACATCCCCGAGGAGGCAGCCTTCTTTTAGCTGATTGTCACTGTCCTCGCAGCAGCACACCTCCACTCCTCCTTCCTGACTGTCCATCTCAGACACGGCCTTCGGCCGTCTGCCCTGGTGGTGGGGACGTGGCCTCACAGACACACACTTTTCCATCCCCGGCTTCCCACAGAAGCACAGGGTTCCGATTGGACAAGGACTCGCGGTTCACCTGATCGTGGGCGTTTGAGCCCAGTAAGCCTTGCAGTAAACTGTGGCATGCTCTCCTCTTCTGCACACATTCTCATTCTGCCTGCCGTTGGCAATTTCCTGAGTTTTCACTTGCCTGGGGTCTGGACCTCATCATTAACTCACCCAGGTCCTTCTCCAGTCATCTGGACGGGCACCTCCCGGAAGACACGCCTCCCCAGCCTCAAGGCTCCAGCATCCACTGGGGCTGGGCACCTCCTGGGGGTCTCGTCCCCTGTCCCCTGCTTTGGATGGCCTGCTTCAGGTCTCCCGGTCCCATCACCCTCCTCCTGCCTACTTTACTCTTTCTTCTCAGGCGCACGTCTCCCAGCAGCCATCTAGGAAGAAAGTATGTGGGAGGTAGACGTCCGGGAGGGTCTTGATTCTGTTCTCTTGTTTGACGTGTTTTGTGGGACCAGAGCGTGGTGGGAAGCTGTGGTCCTTCAGGATGGTGGCCACCAGGCCCCTGGCCTCCTCCCCTGAGTGTTTCGCAGAGGGCAAAGCCTGCTGACCCCGGCCCTGTGGACGGGGCTTGATTCTGCTTTTCTCTTTGGCTTTGTTTTTCTCTCTGGAAGCCTGGAGGCTCTCTTTGCACCCAGTTTTCTGAATGGCATCAGGATACATGCCTGCAGGTGACACTGGGCTGTTTGCAGGCGTGCGAGGCCCCAGCAGGCCCTGCACAGGCACAGCCTTCCATTGTGGGCGATCTTCCCTCCCTTCTCGCCCTTCATGCCTCGTGTCCTCCCTTCTTCCTGGCACTCCTGCTGCTCCTGCTCTGGGGCCTCTCTTTACCGCCATTTCTCCCCTATTTTCCAGCTCTGCCTCCCCCCTGCTTCACGGAAGATTCCATGTGCTTCTCCAACCATGCTTCCGAGTATGTCATTTTCCTTTCTTATTTTTTATTTCCAAAAGCTTTTTCTTGTTCTTAGTTATTCCTTTTTTATAGCATCCTGTTCTTATTTTAGCAATGTCAGATTTCCAATCTCCAAATCCAAAAGTTGTTAAGTGTTTTCCTCCTGTAATAATTTTGTTTCTTCCAAATCGCTTTTCTCTGTTTCCCTTCGGCTTTCTCTCTGTGACCCCGGCGTCCTCAGATCCAGGAAGTATGCGGTTTGAGTGGGGACTGAGCCCCGGGGTGTACGGCCTGTCCCTCCGCCTTCCTGGGACCCCCTTTCTCTGCCCCCCTCCCTCAGGAAGCCCCGGGAGGACCACCGGCAGGAGGCTCAGCCTGCAGGCCCCTGGGAGCGGAGGGAAAGGCTCGTCCCCCCAGCTGTTGTGACACAACAGTGGGCGTTTCCAGTGGGAGCCGTGGGAACGTCTGTCTTGTCACATTGGTGATCAGTGTCCACCACACTCAGAGGCTTGTCCTGGCCCAGAATTGAGCGCTGGGAGCTTAGCTTTGGAAGCTGGGAGTTTCAAACACCCTGACACGCAGACCTGGCAAACTACAGGGAGGACACCCCTTATTAAAGAGTGCCCCCAGGTGTCCTCCATCAGAGCAATACATTATGGTCTGAGACACCGTATGTTCGAATGGCTTTACTTGAGAAGATCAGTATCAGCCACCATGTCATCCCCACCACACACACACACATATGCATGCACGCACACGCACACATTTACACATATGCACACACATGCACACACGTGCACATGCACACACACTGTCAACCTCATGGGCCCCTGCCTGTTCTGTAATGGAAGCCCCTCACTCTGGAGCTGTGGCTCAGTGGAAGCCCACAGCGAACTGGAAATAGAACCTGGAGTCAGATTGGCACTCCTCACCCTCCCTTCCTCCCAGGACTTTGTGGTTGGCCTCTCCATCCTCCTGCGAGGAACAGTCCAGGAGAAGCTCAAGTGGGCCTTTAACCTCTACGACATTAACAAGGATGGCTACATCACCAAAGAGGTACGGGGGACTGAGGCCTGGCCCGTCTGCCCTCCCGCCCCCATGGCTGCTGCCCAGGCTGTCCTGCCTCCGCTCCCCTCCCCACCCAGAGACCAGGTGGGGGACAGCCACCAGGGGGCTTCCTCTTCTCCTGGGCTCTGTCCTGGGCCCCTGAGTGCAGGGAGAATGGGGCTGTGTGCACATCGGGTTCAGTTCTGCAAGTGTCCTAGGACCAGCCCTTCTTACAGAAGGGCCTGGGGAGACAGGGGTGGAGAAGCCTAGGGTGGGGCTGGCCTTGGCTCCCACCAATCAAGGGGCAATGGGGGGTCCTCACCACATGGGGCCACAGGTGGGTTCTTTTGGCCCAAACACTTTTTGTATGTGAAATAGTAGCTTACAGTGTCAAATTTTGGAGACAAAAATCTACCTCTGACTTTTCTTGAAGAGTCAGAGCTGTCACTGGGCAGAGCAGGGGTGGGGACAGAGCAGGGGGGCCTCCAGCTGGCTCAGACCTGCCCTGGAGGGGTTCTCCACCATGGGTGCAGCCCCCTCCCCTCTGGCCTTTGCACCCTCCCCCATCCTTGCAGCTGGACTCATGCCAGCCCCTCCGCCCCTGCAGGAGATGCTGGCCATCATGAAGTCCATCTATGACATGATGGGCCGGCACACCTACCCCCTCCTGCGGGAGGACGCGCCTCTGGAGCACGTGGAGAGGTTCTTCCAGGTGAGCGCTCCAGCCGGATGTGCGGCCGGAAGAGGAAGGGGCTCCTGCTCAGGACACCTGGGCGAGCCACCCTGAGCCTCCCCTCCCACAGGAGGGTAAATGGCCGTGCCCTGTCAGCTGAACCTCGGCTCAGGGCCGGCTGGGCTCACAGATTCCAAGGCGGCTGACATCTTGGCCGTGTCCTCGTGCCTTCCAAGGCCCCCCTCCCCCAGCTCCTCCAGGGAAACTGTCTGCAAGAGGAATGGGGTTGGGGTGACTTCTCTGTGTGTCCGTGGGACATGTGGCCTTTTTGTGCCTTGGTTGCTCCATCTGTCCTACTTGCCTGTCGGGGTGAATTCTGGGAATTGTAAGCCCAGGAGGCCGTCAGAAGCCTCTGGGGCTGGAGGGCAGACTGGGGAGAGATCAGCTGTGGGGTGCGAGGGGCTGAGGACGCAGTGTAGGGGACAGAGGGGAGGGGTGGGGGTGGAGGAGGCCCACCCTCTGCACGTCCTCAGGCCTGGGACAGGGACTGTGCCTGGTGAGACACAGACTCACCGAGGGTGTGGCTTGGGTTGCAGAAAATGGACCGGAATCAGGACGGGGTAGTGACCATTGATGAGTTCCTGGAGACCTGTCAGAAGGTAGGTGTCCTCGGGATTTGAGAAACTGTGTCCTCCCCAGCCAGTCCTCAGACCACTCCCCACCCACAAGCTCCACTTTCACTCTTTCTTCTGAACCCCTCCCCGCCACCCCCAAGCTCCACTTTCACTCTTTCTTCTGAACCCCTCCCCCGGCTCCTGCCAGCCACAGCCCACTTGGGCACCATATCTCAGCCCTGCCCTTGAGTGCTTTGAGTTAGAGGGGGCAGATGTGGGGCCCGCAGGGGTGATGAGGCAGTGTGGCCCTCGGGCAGGGTCACGCTGGGGGACAGGCACCTGGAGCCTCCCAGTGTTGCTGACTCTCCTCTGCAGAGCACCCTTGGGGTCGGGGAGGCAGGGCATCAGACCTCTGCCACATGCCTCGCTCCCAGAGTGACCTGTCCATGGCCCGTGGCCTCCGCTGGGTGAGCAACCAGGGAGGTTTGTCCTTCAGTGAGTTAGCCGATCCCAGACGGGCTGCAGTCAGGCCTTGGGGCTGAAGACGGGCTGGGCCTGACCAGCTCCTCCCAGCCAGGGACACAGACCGAGTGGTCCCTGCAGAGGCCGGTCCCTGACCAGAATCCGCTCAAGGTGACCAGAGGTGGGCACCGCCCGCCCTGTCCACCGGGGTCTGACCCGGCCTCTCATCGCCTCTCCACGCAGGACGAGAACATCATGAGCTCCATGCAGCTGTTCGAGAACGTCATCTAGGACACATCGGGGATCCCCAAGTGGCCATCGTCACCACCTCAATCCTGCCAGGAACAGCCTCCATGAGAAACTTTTTTCTACTATATTTGCAAAAAGTGAACAGTTTGCTACACACACACACACACACACACACACACACACACACACACGTGCACCATTCCTCTGGGCTAGGTGGGGGAGGGGTGCTGCATCGGGTTGGGAGCTGGGTCCAGGTGACATGAGCTACACCCCCAGCCAGCCCATCCCAGGCCAGCGGAGTGAGGCTGCCTCTGCAGTGGGCCGAGGGGAGAGCAGTGTCTGCAGCCATTGGCTGCTGGGTGTGCGCAGGGGAGTGCTCAGCTCCCCTGCAAAGGAGGGTCCAGTCTCCAGAGTGAAGGCCCCTCCCCCCTCCCGCTTCCCTTCTTTGCCACCACCCATGGGCCAGGCTCTGGTCTCCTTGTCTCCCAGCCATTCCCAGCCCAGTGACCACACTCCCAGGATGCACCTCACCGCAGAACCCTGAGGGGCAGCCGGGATGAAGGGTGTTCAGACTAGGAAAGAAGTGATGGAGGCAGAGCCTGCTGCTTCCTGGGAAGGTTTCCTGGTGAGCTCTGCTGCGAGGATGAGGGGCCATCCCTGCTGTCCCTCCATCCCAGGAAGGGGGCCCTTTAAGCTCAGGGTTGGGTTTCCTGGTGGAGAATGTGAGGAGACTGTGCCGACCCCACGAGATGGGAGAAGCCCTCCCCTACTGGCCCAGGCCAGGCTCAGTGGGGACACAGTGGTGGCACTGCCCCCACCCCTCAGGCTCTGAACTGTTCGCCCCAAGTCATCGTGGGTACCAAGAAGAGGCCATGTGGCTCAGGGACTGGCCGCCCAGGAGCCCGGTGGCAGCCAGCCCAGGAAGGGCTTCTTGGCCCTTTGTCCCCCAGCCTCTGTCTCCTGTGGCCCAGCAGTTGGGTTGAGCTCCCCTCTGGTTGGGGTCCTGAAGCAGTGTGGCCACCTCCACAGGGGCTCACCCCAACCCATACACAAACGGCCCTTTGTCCCCCAGCCTCTGTCTCCCGTGGCCCAGCAGTTGGGTTGAGCTCCCCTCTGGTGGGATCCTGAAGCAGTGTAGCCACCTCCACAGGGGCTCACCCCAACCCATACACAAAGCACAAGCACCCCCAGAGCTCAGGTGGAGCCCGCGAGGAGCTGAAAACACCACTTTTCCGAGACAAGGCCCTCCTGGTGGGCTGAGCCTGGGCCCGGAGCCCTGGTACCGGTGGCCTGCAGGTGGCCCAGGGAAGGAAGCGGGGGTCTGTTCTGTGACTCAGAGCAGTCGGGGCTCAAGCCCCTCCCCAGCCCAGCTCACCAACATTCAAAAGCACAAACCCCGGACTCTGCTTGGCTGGGTTCTGCCCTGGGATGGGGCCAATGTCCACCTGAGGCCAGAGGCAGCAGTGAGGGCTGAGGGCCTGAGGCCGGTGGGAGGTCCACAGGGCCCTCCAGGACACACAGAGCAATGACCGCTCCTGCCCAGGCAGCGGGGACTTCCGAGGAACATTCCCAAACATACATTCCATCGGCTACCGTCCCGCCTCTGCTCGGCCTGCCCGGGGTGAGCAGAGCCTTCCAGAAAGGGTGGGACGGCGGAGGCCCTGGAGACTGGTCTGGTTCGGCCAGGGGACTCCTGGGCACCCACAGGCGGTCCTCGGCTTGGAGATGTACTGACACCCCATCTCCAGTCTGACTGGGGTCCCTCCCCTCCTCCAGGAGGCATCAGCTTTCCCTGGCTCAGGGATCTCCTCCCCCCGCCCCCAGCCCGGTCCTCCCAGCTGGTGTCGCTCTGCTTCTCAGGGGCCCAGGTCATAGGAGAGGGTGGCCACCATCCCCCTGTCCCCCGTGGCCTCGGCCAGAGGCCCGTCTCCCACGCTGGGACGAGGACTGGCCGCATGTCTGCATGGCAGAAGCGTCTCCCCTGGGCACACCTGGGAGGGCGGCGCCTGTTCTCAGCGCCCACCAACAGCAGTCCTGTATATTTTAATAAAAGAAACGTGACAAAGGCGTGGGGCTCACCTTGGCTTATCCTGTGAGTGTTGGTCTGGCCCCTCCCACCTCTGCTGCTATCCGTGGCTCCTGCCCAGTGCTGTGCTGGTAAGTGTGTAACAGGCCCCGCATTGTAGCCTGTGCCAGTTTCCATGCTGATCGCAAGCTCCCGAGGTGATGTCACTGAAGGCCGCAGTTGGAAGCCTTTATGAGAAACGCCAGCCCTGCAGCCTCCACACGGAGCCAGCGGGCAGGGGACCTTCTTGAGGTGCCATTTATATCTCGCTCCCAGGTCACTCGTCTTTACCAGTTCCAGGGTGTCATTTCTCATGTCCCCTGGGCTGGAGGGCACAGGCCACAGCACGGAAACAATTTGCCTGAAGATGTCTTCCTTTCCTGCTTTTTATTTTCAAAAGTGTAAACTCAGGAAGGATTATGCCAGGGGAGGGGCAAGAAATGAAAACCTGGGGGAAGGAGTGAGAGGGGTTCCCTAACTTGGAGATAGAGAAGAGGTAGGTTCTGGGGGTATTGGTAGTGCTTCAAGGGCCAGACCCAAGGCCATGTGACATCATCACAGTGACGAGACCCAAGCCTCTCTGGGTCACCAGCTTTGCCTGATGAGCATCTCAGCAGGAGCGAGGAGGGCAGAGGAGAGGACCCCCTACCACCACACACACCAGAAGTTCCACCCCACCTGAAACTGAGGGCCTTGGCACAATCCTGGCAAGGGAGCCGCCTGACTTTGCTGTTGGGGGTGGGATGGCCTGCATTTGCCATTGGCTGGCCACTATGTGGAGCCCATTCACCCTGGCCACAGCCTGATGGGCGGGATGGGGAAGCTGAGCTGAAAGGTGTTAAGACCTCCAACCCATTAAAGAATGGAGTCAGGACAGTGGCTCCAGGCTGGGTGTAAGCACTGAAATACCCCATCATGATGGGCCAGAGAGCTCAAAATAGGGAAAGCCCATCCATCATCCACCCATCTACCAACCACCATCCATCTATCCACCATCTACCTACCATTCATCCACCATCCATCCATCCATCCATCCATCCATCCATCCACCATCCATCCACTCCAACCCATTAAAGAATGGAGTCAGGACAGTGGCTCCAGGCTGGGTGTAAGCACTGAAATACCCCATCATGATGGGCCAGAGAGCTCAAAATAGGGAAAGCCCATCCATCATCCACCCATCTACCAACCACGATCCATCTATCCACCATCTACCTACCACTCATCCACCATCCATCCATCCACCGTCCGTCCATCCATCCACCATCCATCCATCCATCCATCATCCATCCACCATCCACCCATCCATTTATCATCCATCCATCCATCATCCATCCATCATCCATCCATCCACCATCCATCCATCCATCTATCACCCATCCATCCACCATCCATCCATCCATCATCCATCCACCATCCATCCATCCATTATCCATCCATCATCCATCCACCATCCATCCATCCACCATCCATCCACCATCCATCCATCCATCATCCATCCACCATCCATCCATCCATCATCCATCCACCATCCATCCATCCATCATCCATCCACCATCCATCCATCCATCATCCATCCACCATCCATCCATCCATCATCCATCCACCATCCATCCATCCACCATCCATCCATCCATCATCCATCCACCATCCATCCATCCACCATCCATCCATCCATCATCCATCCACCATCCATCCATCCACCATCCATCCATCCATTATCCATCCATCATCCATCCACCATCCATCCATCCATCCATCCATCATCCATCCATCAATTTGTACATCTACTCAGCACTTTCCTGTTCCTGACACTCAGTGCAGAGGGGACGGCTGGCTGTGTCCTCTGTGTGGCTATAATGGCAGTGAGGAGTCTAGAAGGACCCCTGGGCAATCAGTCATGGATAGGATTCAGGGGAAATTACAGGATATTGTCAACTATAAGCAAAGATGTAAAAATCAAAATATTAGTCATTTCCATAATATGCATATACATGATATATGTAACATTTCATTGCATATTTGGGTTTATCCAAGAGATGCAAGGTTTAACATTAAAAAAAAAAACCACAAACCAAACAAACAAAAAAACAGGCTCTTGGCCTAGCTGATTTTGCTCGGTGTTGAGAGCATCAGCCCATGGACTGAGGGTCTGAGATTCAATTCTGGTCTAGGGCATGTACAGCCCAGGTCAGGGCTTATGCAAGAAGCAACCAGTTGATGCATCGCTCTCACATTGATGTTTTTCTCTCTCTGTCTCTTCCCCTCCCTTCCAATTTCTCTAAAAATTAATGGAAAAAACATCCTCGGGTGAGGATGAAAAAAATACAGGCTCATTAGTTTCCAATAATATGGAGTATGCAGGAATCTAAAATCTACATTACTCTTTCCACTGAAAACAACACACATTCTGGTTTCACCTGGGTCAGGGACAATCACATGGACTGTCTGAACCAGCTGGTTGTAAAGGGAACATGCAGAGGCCAGCTGCCTGCAGAGCGAGCTCAGCCAGGTCTGAGATTGGAGAGGAGCGTGGGATGTAGGTGAGGCCCAATCTGCACAGGGAGGAGACTATGGCCAGTCCCAGAGCCAGCATGGCCAGCAGTTATCCTGTGCCTACATAGGGCCAAGATGAGGGCGTCTGGAAGAAACTCTACCATCTCACTCAGACCCGCCCACTCACAGGGGGGAATTGCATAAACCTCCAAGAAGATAAAGGCCTAACTAGACCTTGTCCAGAGTTGAGGGTCCTGTAATGGGAGTGGGCCTGACAGGAGGCCTGGAATGGCCCTGGAGCATCCGCAGGCTCAGTCTGAGCAGGCACTACAGGCAGCCCTCTCTTGGGTGGTGGTGGAGGCCATGCCACCCACAAACTCCCCCCGAGGGCTCGCCTGACTGCCAAGGGCCATCAGTGCTAGAACTGGACTCCCTGCTGTCTGCTGGGTGCCTTTTGGTTTTGTCTATTCCTTGACCAGGAATCCCCAGCATCCTCTAACTCACCCACACCTGCCCTACCCATCTTTGCTCTCACAGCTGGACGCAGGCCCAGGGCCCCTCTGCTCAGCTCTCTGGGCTGGCTTTGAAAATTACAAACTGTCCTTTGGGTGCAGAATCTATGTCTGCCCCACCGTCTGCCGAGATGGCCCGTCCATTGCCCCGGCAGTAAAGGCCTCAGGAGCTTCTGTCTCATGCGGTCTCATGTGTGTGCTGAGGAAGGTCAGCTGATTGGACACCGGCCTGCTGCCTCTCTAGCATTCCCCTCCTCTGGCAGTAGCCCCCAGTCTCCCTGAGGATCCCTTCCACTCTCTATCCAGAAAGTCAGGGACCCTACCTCCAAGGCCAGCCCTCAGCCCGTTGGTACATGTCTTCCCTGCTCAGAGTGGTTGGTTGAGGGTGGGCACCTGGAGCGAAGGAGGCCAAGGGAAACCCAAGCGGGAATGCTGGTAAAGCCTCTGCTCCTCATCATCTGAAGCTTCAGGGACCCGAGTCGTGAGGCTGGGGCTGCTATTTGGTAACTGAAGGAGCCAGGGAATGAAGCCAGAGCAGAAGAAGGGTAAGCTGGCTGAGGGATGGAGACAGAGAGAGCAAGGGGGAGGGGGCAGGGTTCAGCCCTTGAGCTCAAAATCAAACTGTACCTTAAGCAAGCCCCTCCCGATCTCAGATTCGTTGCTATGTGAGCCACTCATAGGTTCCCCACCCCAACACTCCACCCCAAGCTCGCTTAACACGTCTCATCTGCCACAGCCTCAATGAGCCTCATCAAGCTCAGCCGTGGGGCTGAACGTGCTTTCCAGACGTCAGCGAGCCCTGAGGGAAGGGGGCCGGGACAACATGCCCAGCCTGTCTCCCTGCCAGACTGTGGGCCTCTTGCCAGCAAAAGCCCTGGGGTTCACACGGGGAGGGAGTGGCCAGTAATGCTGCTGCGCCAAAGGTTACAGGGACGGAGCCGCTGCTGTGGAGCAGACAGCCCAGGTGAGCTTGCTGGGTCACGGGCCAGCTCGGGAGGCACCAGGGTCAAAGTCTGTTTGAAACATGTGGCCTGCACTGAAGGGCGCCTCCTTCTGAGCGCCCACCCCTACCCCACCCAGCCCAGCTCTCTTCCACCCACTTTCCTGTCCCGAGCAATTCTGGCTGAATCCCATTCCTCCGAGTTTCACTAACAAAACCAGGCAGCGCTTTTCCCCTGTTTTGAAAAATCACCAAATACAGGAAGACATCCAGAAGCTAAAAATAAGGCCCCAAGAGCAGGCCATCAGTCAGCCCCAGACTGCCAACTGCCAGGAAGCGGCCAGCCAACTAAGACTGCGAAGTCCTCCAGGCTCCTGTGCACGGGCTCTCAGAGCGGGGGACCCATTTCTCCGTTTTGTTTCTCCAAGAAGAGCAGGCTGGTGCTCTTCCAGCTTTGCCACGGTCACACTTCTGGGGCACTCCTATCTGAGCAGTCCCCAGTCCCTCGTGTCTACAGCGCCATCTTTTTGCATATTCGCATGTTTGTGGCTACAACAGCAACTCTGTGCTTCTAAAAGGCATGGCGAACAGAATGGATGCCTCTCCTCTTTCTCTTTGTGTTGGTAACTTCGGCTCCAGCCAACAGGTTAGTGCAAATTAACCTGTTTGCAAATTCACTCATCTTTTCTTCCGCAATGTCGACTCTGCCACTAACCCATCTAGTGCATTTTTCATCTCAGATATTGTAGTTTCCATCAATGGAAGTTTGCTTTGGATCCCTTTAAAAACTATCTTCCATGTTTCTGATTAACTTTGAACAGATGGAGTACAGTTATAGTAACTGTTGTAATATTCTTGTCTGTTAATTCTAACATCTGTCAGTACTGAGTTCCACTAAAATAATAGATTCTTCTCGCTATGGGTCATGTTTTCCTGCTTCCTTCCAAGACTGGGTTATCTTTGATTAGATATCAGAACTTGTGAATTGATCTTGTTGGTTGCTGGATATTTTTTATTATTTTTATAAACATCACTGAGCTTGGCCTGTGATGTAATTAAGCTACTTGCAACATTTGATCCTGGTGGATCTTGGTTTTTAAAAAATATATTTTATTGATTTTTTACAGAGAGGAAGGGAGAGAGATAGAGAGTTAGAAGCATCAATGAGAGAGAAACATCGATCAGCTGCCTCCTGCACACCTCCTCCTGGGGATGTGCCCGCAACCAAGGTAGGTACATGCCCTTGACCGGAATCAAACCTGGGACCTTTCAGTCCGCAGGCCGATGCTCTATCCACTGAGCCAAACCGGTTACGGCGGTGGATCTTGGTTTTATGATGTGTGGGGCATTACTCCCCACCTCCCTGTGGAGGCAAGACCTTCATGAGTACTCTACCCCGTGTCCGGTGATTTCTGAGTTTTCCAATCTGACTAGTGGGAAGAGGCGCTGTTCCTGGCCTTGTGCAATCTCTTGACACTGTTCCCTCTGATTCCTCTTGATGATTCTTTCCCTGCTCTCAGGTAGTTGCCTCACAGACATGCCCCGCTCAGGACTCTGCTGGACGCTTGAGGGGGAACCTCTACAGAATGCCCTCTCCAGTACTTTGTCCTGCAAACTCCAGCTTCCTGGGTCTTACCGGGCCTCAGCTCCATTTCTGCAACTCATGGCGTATGCAGGTTCCACTTTGGTCCACCCTCTTTCTGCCACAGCCCGGAAACTCTCTCAAAGCATTAAGCAGGGGCAACCACAGGGTCTCATTTGTTTCCTGTCTGATATCACTTGTTCTTCATTACTTGATGTCCAATTTCTTGAAAACCATTGTTTTGCATATTTTGTCTGAGTTTCTTGTTTCATGCAGGGTAAATCTGTCCCTCTTACTCCATCTTGGCCAGAAGCAGAAGTCCTCCTCTCCTTGCCATTTGGAAGGCGTGGCTCCCTGACTGCCTGTTATGTGTTCCCCTGTCTGCCGGTTCCCTGCAGTTCTTCTGATTGCTCCTCTGGTGCTGCCCACCCTTACAGGGTGTGTCTCCTGACTAGGGTTTATGCCAGGCTCTCTAGGACATTCCCCCTGTTCACATTCACTCCCACAGTCTTCATTTCTATCTCTATGCTGACCTCTTTCTATCTTGAAGCCAGACTAGAGCCCCAAGCTGCAACTGCCCGCTCTGCAGTACCCACTCGAATGTCCCCCAGGCACAGTAAATGCAACCCATCCAACACCCAGCTCACCATCTTCCCCCAGAGCTGCTGTCTCTCCAGAACTTGTTTGCATGACTAGCACTGCCATCACAGGCCAGAGACCGAGGAGGCAGCCTGGCCCCTCCTTCCCCCTCACTCCCAACTCCTGTCATCACTAAGGACGGTCAGTTCTACCTCCTGAACATCTCTGAATGCTCATCATCTCCGTTGCACACCAGCCACCACTGCTCTCATCCGCGTCCCCATTCAGACCCCTTTCCTTGGAGGAGGACCGGTGTAAAACTGCTCAAATGTAAGTCTAACCATGGCATCCCCTGTGAGGACCTCCCAGAGGCCTCCTGTGTGCTAGGTAAGGCTCCAAACGCCTTCCGGGGACAACTGAAGCCCTTGAGTATGTGGCCCTTGATTAAATCTTGGGCCTCTTGCCCAGAGCCCCTTTGTAGGTCCTCATTTGCCAGAGGCCTGGAGAGCCTGCTAATTAAACCACCTCTTCGGGAGAATGCCTGTCCTCTGAGCTGGAGATTTTGCCTCCCACTACCCTGTCCTGAGCCCAACACAGTGCATGTGAGACAGGGCTGCTCAGATGGGTGTAAAAGGCTGGACCCGGGGTCAAAAAGGTGGTTCCCCTCCCCACTGCCTGTGTCCGCTTGCGCAAAGCACTTCCAGCCTCAGGTGTCCCCTATGTAAAATGGGTGCTATCATCCCTCCTCTCCTCAATAAGCCAGAGATTTGCCTTTGTCAACAGCGCGCTATAATTTGGTTTCTTCTACCGCATTTGCCCAACGATGGAAATGGTGCCCTGCTCAGAGGCAGGGACCCGACACAGGGGAGGGGAGCGCGGCGCCCAGGCCCAGGGCACAAAACGTGAGGAAGCACCCTCTCAGGTCGCTGTGAGGGAAGGGCGCCGTCCTGTGGGCTCGCCCAGGTACCATCAGAGGCCTGAAGGCTCCAGAGTGGGCC